ATTTGTATACGACGCGTCTCTTCTCTCTTTTTTTTTTTTTTTTTTTCTTCCACGCGGCCCCCCCTAAATCCACCCCCCCCCCCCCCACCCCCCCTTCCCACTATCTAAATAAAAACAAAGGGAAAAAACATACCCAAAACCCTCTGTTCGGCCCCCGGGGGGGGGTTTTTTCTTTTTAAAAGTTTTTTGGGGGGGGGGGGGGGGGGTGACAGAGGAGGGCCCTTATTTAATTTAGTGAAACGCATCAACGGGAGCAAGGTTTCTCGAGGAAAGACTGGTGGTCCTCGGGCGTTATACCCTTTTTGTAGTTTTCTAACCATAAGAAAATGGTGAAAATTCTCTACAAAGAACTAGAGCGTTAAGTTGAAAAAGTTAAGCAGATGAAATTGGAGGTCAGGCGGCTGAAGACCAACTTGAACCACAACTGATCAGTCCACGTTAATTGTTTTTGAAGAATAGGGATGGAGGGGAGCGGAAGGGGGAGGGAGTGCTTGATACGGAGAAAGGTGCTTATTAACTTTCCTCCTCTGAAAAGGGGGGCTTATTAGAGTAGGGGGGTTAATTTGAGAGGGGGAGCTTAAAAGAGGATTTACAGTACTTATTAATAATTTTCTTCATCCCTATATAACCGTAGAATTTAGAGGAATTATTTTTTCGCACCAGACTTCCTTTGATCTTTTTTAAACCTTAATGGCTGTGTAAGAATACTCCAAAGACTTTCCTTTCTTGAATCTCCTTTCCCTCTTGACATTATCAGACCACTGGAGACTGTATGGACAAAGAGAACGGCTGTATTAATTTATCTGACACATCGATACTTGAGTAAAGTTGTTATGTACCATCATGTTGCGTTCTGTAAAGTATTAGAGACCTTTAGATTCAAGGACGAGGACGACTACGAGTAAGAGATTTGACTTAGTTTTTTCACGTCTTCTCAAAATATAGACTCCCTGGAAAGCTTCATTTTACCATTTTTCGCCAGAAAAGTCAGCATTGTTATAATATCTTGTTTCGCCACCACGACATTTGCGCCGACGGCTACCACGTTTTCCCGCCAAAATGACGCTGGCTTACGCGTGTGACCCACGCGCGTACACTACTTAGTAATTACTATTGAGAAAATCTCCTAGTCACTTGTAGTCATACTTTTCTTAGAATCTAAAAGTCTCTATCGTCTATGCCTCAATGTTAAACTTTAATTGAATTTTATCCATTCACTGAAAAAACTAGAGCCCCCTCGGTACATTTGAAAATCAAGATAGCCGTGACGGTAAGACGTGGTATATCTAAACGATCTCACGAAAAAATAGGGGACTGTGAACAGTCTATGATGTGCTGTAACTTGGCGCTTGCGTATTGAAGAAGTTACTTTTGGCTTCCGCCTCTGAGGGTTGCTTAGATTCATCGTGCGGTGATCTTTTAGAATTCTAATAATCTTCTTTTTGTATGGACTCCTCTGATTAAAAGTATTCTGAATTCGCTTTTTTTGTTTTACTAACGATTATCAAATGGTTCAAAACATGACCAAATGGGCTTTGCTTTGAGTTGAACAGGGAAACAGAACCTTCAAGGTTTCTCAGTGTATAAGCTTAAGCTTAAGTGGACCCAGATGATCTGGGTGCTGAGGCATATCATCAGCCACAAAACCAGGGTGGAGAAGAACGGGATAAATTTTATATCCTTTTTACACCCTCTCTATTCTTGTTCCCTACCACAATAATTTTAAGTTTTTTTCTCCCCCAAGTTTGTGGCTGGGATACTCATCTCTTTAGACAGTGTTACATGGAAACATCGGGGATTATTAAATAACAGAATAAAATGATTTCTTGTATTAAAATAAATAATAAATTTCGTTTAGGTAGTTATTGACTTCATATTGAAGTTGGGAGATGTACTGTACTTTACTTAGATTCCAAATACTTTAAGAAATTTGTTAAGCTAATGAAGTTGAAAATAAATGTCATGTTATGTTTTCTTGTGCCTTGATATAATCATTGTCACATATAACTTCTTTAAAGACGTAGACATCAGTTAAAAATGGTGTTTCCTTTTAGAAATATTGATCCATTTATTTGTAGATCAGTTATTTTCAATATTATGAATTATACTTGTATTTGCGATTATTATTAGAGATTGGAAGAATGCAGCGGTTAATTGGAGATTATAAGGAAAAAATAACAAGTATGGTACAACTTTCCCTCCCTTTGTAATTTTCTTCACAAGCCAGACAATAAACAATTGTAAGCCGAAAACAACAACAACAACAACAACAAAAACAAAACCAGAGACTGAAACCTTTTATGATGACTCATGTTTTACCCACATAAAAAATTAAAACATCTCGAGTACATAGTTTTCTAATATTTTACAACTTGGACCAAGGCTTTGAAGGTACAAGGGTTAATACTTTGGATCTACTGCAAGCCTAAGGCTTCATTATCAATATACCAAGTCATGTCTCCTGTATCCGGGTGAATTCCAGTTACTGGGTAATTCCATATATCGACTTCACCGCTTGATATTTCCTTAACTACATTCTGCTTTTTATTACCCACGACAAGAACAGCTATTGTTTTAGCTTTGTTAAGTAAGCTCAAGGTCATGGTCATTCTCTGATTTACCCCGTGGTCATAGCCAGTTTCTGTTAAACTGATCCATTTGTCAGTTTTATTAAGAACTGTCTGATGTGGAAACAAAGAAGCTGTATGTCCATCTGAGCCAATACCGAGAACCACAAAATCTAACTGGCCGTTGGCTACAGACCTCCTCAATTCTGCCTCATAGTGTTCAGCACCATTGTCGTTTACGTCACATAATCCACTCTTCAACATGACATACATTGGGTGAATATTGAAAGGAGAAACAGGAATATGTTTGAAGAGTTTCTCATAAATCAAATTAAAATTTGAATCCTTGCTGGTTGGTGGGACACATCGTTCATCCACTAGCCATATATGGGTGTGTTGCCATGGAAATTCCTTGACACTGAAAGCCAGAGATTCAAACAACATTACAGGAGAGGTACCTCCTGGTAAAGCTAAGTGAAATATTCTACTCATTGAAACAGCTCTAAGGGCATGTTCAGTTATACTGATGGCTAGATTCTTTATAACCTTCAAGCATGTTCCAGTTTCTAGGTGATTATTTCTAAACAACTCAGGTTTGTAATGGTCAATTGTCTTCCCAGCTGACTTACAGATTCCATCATTATTACAAGTTCGCTTGTCATTTTTCCATGAAAACTCAAGCCGTTCACCCAGCGTAGTAAATTCTAGCACTTCCAAGTTTTCCGGGACATATTGTTGGGGAATTGTATTGTTCAAACTATCTAGCAAATGTGTCCAGACTTTCCAGGAAGTCAAAAGGTCTTCTGTTCCAACAAATAAGTTTTGCTGTTCATGATAGACAGCTGATATAAGAGTTGTGTAAGCATCAACAGCGTTTTTCTGATTTAAAGCATAAAAATCATCCATTGAACAACCAAAAAGGACTACAGGTTTCTTCTCTGGAGCTTTCAGTGGCTGAAAAGATACAGGTTTGGGAAGAATTCCTGAAATAAGAATTGCTGGTTTTTGGATGTGCTCTCCTTGAATATGGAACACAATCTGTCTGACGTCACATTTTTCAGCCTCACTTGAAGCAGAGTGTACTTTATGGATATTGCTTTTGAATACTACCCGTACATAAGCTGTTCTCTCATCAAGCTGCTTTCCAGACACCAACACAAAAGGCACACCATGCCAGCGTGCATTATTTATGAAGACAGACACAGAAGCAAAAGTAGGTGTGTTGCTTCGGCTGTGAGGGGCGACTGTTTCATCTTGCCCTTTGTCAAGATGGCAGTGCTTATTGTACTCTTTATACTGACCAGTAACTGCACTCCATCTATTCATTGGCTTGATTTCTTTTAAAAGCCTTAGCTTGTTTTGCATAATGCTTCTTTTGTTACTAAGACTGTTTGGTATCTCCATAGCAACCATAACAATGAGTTCAGTCATGTGATTTTGCATGACATCACGGATGACACCGTAGCTGTCATAAAAGTTTGTTCTTCCTTTGCAGTCGCTCCTTTCCTTCAAAACAATCTCCACTCTCTCAATGTGATCTCTATTCCAAACATCTTTATACTGTTCATGGTTGTCAAAGCGAAAATCCAAGATCTGCATCACTCCTGTTTTCCCCAGATAGTGATCAATACGATATATTTCATTTTCATTGAAATAATTGGACAGATTTTTAGCCAGCTTCTGGGCAGATTTTAAGTCCGAACCGAAAGGTTTTTCTAGCACAAGTCGAGTCCAGGTGTGCTTATCTCCATGGCGGCAAAAAGAGTGGATTCTCTGTGCAA